TTCTGTAAGGTACTTTTACAATTGGATTTGTACTAGGCTGCAAAGTTATTGAAACTTCCACCTCTCTTTTTGGAGGTAAATCCTTCCATTCTTCTGAGAAAACATCTATAAATTCATTCACTACAGGAATTGAATGTATATTATTATTCGTTTCTATTGTCACTTCCAACTTTGCTAAGAAAATCAAGTCACCTGCTCTTTAGACTTTTATGCACCTGACTAGACGTCATCAATGAGGAAATGACTCCCCTTTCACATTGGAAATAAATACTTTTTCTCCAGGCAAATCAAACCTGACCTTTTTCTTCCAACATTCTATGGTGGCAAAATATTTGACTAGCCAATTCATTCTCAGAATTATATCGAACTCCACTAATGGAAGTACTATCAAGTCTACTTGAAACTTTCTACCAACTATTAGAAAATTAACTAAACATAATGTACTTGCATTTAAATAATTACCCGCAAGTAATCTAACACTTAACCAAGGAGTAAAATTGACAAGTTTCATATGCAACTTCTCACAAAATATCTCAGATATAAAAGAATGCGACACACCAAAATCAAAAAGTACTTTAGCAGGTAAATCTAAGATATTTAATGTACCTATCACTAACTCAAAAGATTCTTTGGCCTCTTGAGAAGTTAAAGTAAATATTCGTGCTAGTGCTGATCTAACTGCTTCATCTGAGCTTTCTCCTTTTATCTTCAAAGCAGGTTGATGTAATGATGGTCTAGCACCTCTGTATTGCTCTATCCTCTAACTACCTCTAAATTCCTTTCCTCCTAGAATATTTTTTGGACAATTTCTCTTGATGTGACCTGATTCTCCACACAAATAATACTTTTTTGAATTCATCAAGCATCTTCCTGTACGAGATTTATCACAAGTTGCACAAACTTGTATCACAGGAAACCTTGTAGACTGCTGTTATTATCCCTGATGAAATTTCTGCTTTTTGGATGATCCACCTTTGTGATCACTTTATCTCTTTCTATCATTATTATCTCATTTCTGTTTAACCACTTCTATGTCATTCTCTAAAAGTATGGCACTTTCCACCAATTCAGAAAAGGTTGTCTCGATGAATCTCTCAGAGCCTTCAAAAATATGTAGCATTTTTCCTCTGAAATACTAATTAGCTGTGGAGCATACCTTGACAGAGTTGTAAATTCTGCTTCATACTGTATAACAGTCTTTGCTCCCTGCTTAAGGTTTACAAAATTTTCTTGTATTGCTTGCCTAGCTGATGGAGGAATATATCACTTTTTGAAGACTTGCTCAAATTCTTCCCACATAATTTAATCCTTTGATCTACATGTGAATTTTTTCAGTTGTTGTCCCCTCCACCATCTATCTTCTTCACCTTCTAGCATAAAGATTGCCAAAGATACACGTCGATTTTCAAGACATCTCATTCCATTTAAAACTTTCTCTATCCTGATGATCCATTCTTCAGCACGTCTAACATCAACTCCTTTAAACAATAGAGGTTTTAAACTCTGGAAGAGCTTTAAATGTTTGTCCACCTCTGCTCCCACAAAATCACATGCCTCAACATTTGGTCTACTACCAGGAGTGGTAGGAGTGACTGGTGTAACTACAGGTGGAACATCAGGTGTTGCAAATCCCACCATAGACTGCATTTTTTCCATCATCTGCATCATCATGCTCATCATTTGCATTTGCATTAAATTCCCTGACATTACATTAACTGCATCTGATCCTACTGGTGTAGGATCTACATTGGGTGCACTACCTCCTTTTGGTGCAACATTTTCAGGATCCTCAGAGATCCTAGTAGGCTGAGATGACTGACTCTCAATCCCTTCAAGTATTCTATTAGCCATTATATTTGCAATGTATTGCATTAAGAGTTATGCATTTATAATCATATATTCCTTGTTAGAGGTTTTCATATACTTACTTACAAGCCCAAAATAAAGTTACATATAATTCAAATGAAGTTAGACTTATCTCTAACTTAGGAATACTACACTCTCCTAGGCTCTGTAATCATTCCATCAGATCTCACCTTAATTTTCTAGACAACTTGATTTGCTTATGCTTACGTAGTTAAATCCTCAGAATCTTAAACATTTGCTCTGATATCACTTTTGTAACACCCCACAGCACTCCTTAATAGTATTATAGAGTGTAACAAGAATAAACATAAAATTTTCATCACTAAACACCTCATTCCATTTCATTTCATTTCATTCATATCTATATAAAAGATCATATAAACATCATCTGATACAACAAAAGAAACATCTAATAATTCTCAAGTTTCATCATAGACCTAATATAGAGCCACTAAGGAAATCCAAACAAATTCAAAGTAATACAACATTAAAATTGTTTACTAACAATAAGAGTAGATTTCAAACATATAATAAATATTAACATAAAATTTAAATACTTGTAAACTAGTCTTCTTCCACCTTTCCCTTTATCTTACATGTAACAACAGGCAGTAATAAAGTACTGGTGAGATATGAAACTTAATAAATTATGCAAATTAATTAAAAGTTAACATACAATAAAATGAATAATGCAAAACATCTTTCTGCATAAATCTACAAATAAACCTACAACAATAGGTTATCATCTTTTAGAAATTTTATTTATTTTAGATAACATAAAAGATAATGGTACTTTGTTTTTTTTTTTCTTCTTATTTTAAATTTCCTCTTTTAAACTTCATCATATCATCAATTCATACTGACCTTGATATCAAATTACATTTGACCACAAAATTTCATATTAATCATTCTTAAATCTTAGCAATTATGGTTACAACGAGTTGCAAGTTTACATACCTCAATGTATTTCACAGCACCTGAATAACACTGCTTTCACTAGCCTTCATTCCAGAAAAATGCAAAAATCTTCCTTTACAGAAATCAAACCCTTCCCTTCAGCAACTGTGTTGAAAGTCTCCCTATGTCCTTCTAGTTATCACCGCAAAAACTTGCTCTAGACTAACCAATTCCACTTTGTTCCTTTCTGTATGCGGCCTCAACCTTCTCCAACAAATTACTAGGGAATTGCTTGCGGAAGTGCTTCCTCTCCAGCCCGTTATCGCTCAGCAAAACACTAAAAAAATAGGGATTATCCACGTTTTACATTCACTAGTGGATAGTGGGCCCCAACCATCTTCTAACCGCCCAGAAAAATACATATACGCCCAATGTTTTGAAAATCCGATTGGACTAGCTGGTTTGATTATGAACCGATCAAGTTATTGGTCCGGTTATGTTCAAAAATCGCATTTGCATCGAATTGACTCGAACTAGTTTGAACTGATGGTTCCAGTGAAAAACTATCAAATCGGTCCTGATTTTGTAGAATTTGTTGGTTCTACAAATATTAAATTTTATTTTAATAAAAATTTAATAAGTATATTTTACTTCTATTAAATGGTTTAAAATTTTAAAAATTATTATTATCATATGAAGATAAATTCAACCATGATATGTGTATGCCACCTCACATAGCATATTATATTGCTAGTTGTGTGTACTTTACACCATATAGTGACAACTATTTAAAATCCCTCTATGTTGTGGACTAAAAAAGTTGCATGAATAGTGGATGAGTTAGACCACAAATTGGGCTGGGTTGGGCGACAAATTTGGGTTGCTATAATGCATATTATAAAAGTTAATAACATAAAAGTTTTTTATATTATAAATTTATATATCACGTTAAATATTATTCTTATTAAGAAATTATATTTATACATCTATAATATAAATATCTTTAATTTGTAGATTCATTTAATGCTCATATATCTATATTTGTAATATAATTATACTTATATTCATATTAATGGTTAATCAAGCTTCTTATCAAGCTTTATGTTATTTTAATCAAGCTTGTTCAAGAGCTTTAATCAAGGTAATTATGTATTTACTTTTTAAAATTTTAATTATCATGTAATTTATATTATATTTGAATAATTTTAATATTTATTATGTCATCTGATTCAACCTTTGTTGAACTGTTGAACATTGAACGTCTCCTTCCGGTTCGATGTTCGATCTGATTTTCACAATCTCTTATATACTCTAAAATTCTAACTTTCGCCAAAATCATTAAGACGTGTGTCATTGTGTTCTACTAATTAGATGGAGCCATTTGACATAAAAAAGTATATGTTATTTGCAAGAAAGTGAGAGTTATGGAATTGGTTTCGATTGAAGTAGAATTCATGAAGTTTTTATTATTTTTACAGTTCAATTATAGAAATCATTGTGGCCAGAGTTATCCAAGGATTTGAGCACTTTTGGCTGCATGCAATAGATGAGTGAAGGAGAAATGAAGGAATTTAACAAGTAATTGCATTTAATCCGTACTCCTTCCCAGCTAAACTCATTTTTGGCATGCGAGGAGCTCTCAGATTGGTATTTCTTGCGTGTTGGAGTTTTGGTGGGAGGGCTAAGATCAAGTGCAAACTATAGGTGAAGGGGAAAATTGGGATGGAGTACAAATTTAAGGAAGAAGTGGAAGGAGAAGGAAGAAGAAAAAGGAGCGTAAAAGAGGAGAAAGAAGAGGAAAGAAAAGGAAGAAGAAAAAAGTTGAGATTTTGGTATATTGTGTAAATAGTTGTTTTGTGTAAAATTTAACTCAATTATATTCAATTGTGAATTAGGAATCCCATAGCATACAAGGAGGAGAAATTTTGGGAATTTTAAATTGTATTTGAAAAGAGGAAATTATAAGGTATGTTTCTGGGGTAGAAAATAATTGTAATTATATGTAATTATAAGATTCAAATAGATGTTTGTACAAACTTGTCAAATTAAGTAATTTGAGTTGTTGTAGGTGACTTATACTTGTAGGAGGTTATATGATGTCTGAATTGGGGAGGTTGCTCGTAACAACCCAAATTTCTTGGTAATTAAATAAGTTTAATTAAAATAAATTAGTCTTTATTAAATATATATATCTTGTTAAACAAAATATTAAATATATGTGTGTTTTGAATAGATGCTTCCCTTTGGTTATTATGAGAGCAGTTAGAGTTGTGGGGTCCACTCTTTGATCCTTATCAACATTCAAAATGCATCCAAAAAGGCTTCCTGTAGAAGCTTTCGGTGCAGAAATTCATCCCTGAGAGAGTTCGGAACTTCACTCTCCCGAACTGTAGCAAATGTCGTTGATTTGTGAAGAAAGAATCGCAGAAATCACTGTAGTATAGTTCGCTACAGTGACGCGGGTCCTGTAGTTCAGTTCGGTATGGAGTATCTGCACTGCAGTAATGTTCGGTTGCAGCAGAATTCAGCTAGTGAAGACTGAAGAGAGAATTTCTGGACTCTGTAGAAAAACTGTGGTTCATTGTAAAAGGATTTTCTGAAGAACAATTCAACAGTTCCGTAAACCTTGGAAGGATTTGGAAGAGTAAGAATCAAAAGGAATTTTAGAGAAATAATAGAAGATAAGAATATTGGAAGAAAGTTAAGATTCTTCAGATATATATATATGCAAAGAGAAGATTTCATAGTGACCTACAATCGTAGAAGGGTGCGAAGTAGAGAATTGGAAGAGACGATTCATCAAGGAGGTAAGTTATGTAAAGTTAATTACTAATTTTTATATTTATTGTGTCCTTGCAATGGTTTGAGTAATTCAATGCATTATGAATACTTGTATAGCAACCATAATAGATTTCATTAAAGTGTTCATGTATAAATAAATGTACTTTATGTGGAAAGTGAAATGATATTTGATCAAATATGTTGGTTCAATCGCTCTAATGATATGTTAACGAAAGAAGTTTGCAAGTGTTAGATAATGCATGTCAAACTTTCTTACAACACTTATACGGTTATACAAGTGATAACAGAGATGAATTAGGAAATTGAGAGTTATTGAATATTTATTTAATAAAGATTGGCTATGTTATGTTATGTTAAGATATCTACATGATCAGGTGGGCAAAAGGGACCCGATATGAAACCTGAATTGTAGATGGGGCAAAAGGGACCCCAAGGAAATGGATACCTGCATAGCAGGTGGGGCAAAAGGGACCCCTAAAGAGGCAAAAGGGACCTCTATGAAATTCAATGGTGATAATGCCAGGTTTAGATGGGCTCCATTGAATATGTTAAAGTATAGCCAATTCTTTTAAAAGATTAAATATTCAGTATCTATCTCAAATGACAAAAAGGGTGAAATTCAGTATGATGTTTTTTATGCTTTACAAATAATGATAAGTTGATGCAATGATTAGCTTAATATTGTATTTCATTTTATCAATTCATTTTTTTATTATTATCAAATTTTGCATAGCTTATGTGAGCCTCATAGCTCACCAGAACTTTCTTCTGGCTGTTTTTACAGGCAAAGGAAAAGATAAAGTTGTTGTTGATTAGATTTCAAGTACCTCAATGTTATGTATTATTTATATATCTGATAGTAAGGATTAGATAAGGGTATGTAAACACTCATTTGAAGTATTTTGTTTGGATGTTCCTTAGTGGCTCTGTAACTATGTTATGGATGTTTAAACTGTTAAGTGCTTCAGTTAATGTATCAATGAAGGTTTATGAGATACTTCGTATAGTTATGCTAGTGATTAACTGTTTTCAAAAACTTTAAGGAAAGAAAATGATATGTTTTAGCTGTTACACTCTACACTACTAGTCAAGGTACTGTGGGGTGTTACAGGTTGCTCGTCGCAGAGGTAAGAGATGCAATCTTTTAATTCAGGAAGCGACTTATTTAGTCTTCTGCATGGACATTGTACTTAAACTAAAGCTAAGTATGAAATGAATTATAAATTATTCATATTTTTGAATGTTTGTCCACAACTTAGTATTTATGTGCAAATGATCATATTTAAATTTTAATGATTAAAGTTAAAAGTTATCTTTTGATTATATAAATATTTTTCTAATTGATAACATTTAAAAAAAGAAGGAAAAACATATATTATTTGTCATCTCCCTTGTTATACATGCGTTGAAATTACAAGTGTATTTTACATAAGTCATAACATGTTTAATGACAAGTTAAAGTAAATGCAGTGATCAATATTTAATAAGTTTGAGAACATGGCATGTTAGGTTTTAAGCAAGTGGGGCAATGTGCCCTGATGGACAATGCAACCCAAATGGAGGCAATTTAATCTCGGTATGATGAAGCTTACGGGCTATGGTGAAGCCTAATAGCTTGCTCATCTCAAGTAAAATTGATCATCCTAAGTATAGAGCAACAATTCATCTACTCTCCGTAATAGTTTTCTAAGAGTGATAAATTTAAGATTAACCTTGGCTCACTAAAGATCTCTTGCCAATCAGGACATTATTGGCTCTTAAATTTGACGCCCCAAGCTCCTGTAGCAAGAGTTTTAAAGATGTTGTTGGTCAATCTTTAGAAGACATATCATAGTTAAAGTGGAGACACTACCTAGAAACTTCATTAGTACTCTATGATCTAGTCTTAGATTTTTTATAGACACAAATCTTTATGATTAATCATCCCTCCTAATAACAACAATGAACTATGGTTAAGGCTAATCATAAGATAGGCACAAAATGCTCAATTTTTAGAAGACATCAGAGTTTAGAAAAGATACTACCTATAGATTTTGCCATGGCTTTAAGATCTGACTATAGATTTTTCATAGGCACAATTCCAATGATTAATTATCCCTCCCAATAACAAAAAATGAACTTTTGATTAAAGCTAATCGTAAGATAGCTACAAAGTGGAAAGTCACTTTTTATTTTAAGTTGTTGGCAGGAAAATTTTGACAAAACCTATCAAGCAAGGTTTAAAATTGCTCAATTTAGTACTGAAGCGTTTTTATGTTGTGAGGTGAGGCATAAGCCTCAAGTCGTTTAGAGGCGTAAAAGCCAAATTCAAAAATTACGTAAGTAAAATCAAAGGCTAAAAGTGATTGTTTATATAATACCCGATTAATATGTTAAATATGTACATATTAACTTTTTATTAAACTATGAAGTAACAAATTGACATACATATGAAAAAATTGCACAAGACGTGAAGTGATAAGTTGCGTGAAATATTGAAATCTAAGAGCAAAATAATATAAAATATAAGAATTGTATAACAGTTTTATATTAACATCAAGTTCAACATCAAATTCATTATTTCTCAGTTTTATACTCATCTACAATTAATTCTTAAATAAAGCTGAAATAGTTATAAACTCAGAAATCATATGCATTGTCATCACTAACGGGGTCTTTTCTTGAGCATCGTCATAACAAATTAGTATCTCCATTGTCTCATCCCGTGGAGTCCAATGTCTCCTAATATGCTTCTTCTTCATTTATTTTAATCATCTTCGTCTTTTATAAATATTTATCATCAACATAAAGATAAGAGTAATACTATCAAATTTTAGAGATGGTACTGGTGTGCAGCTTTTATGTAATCTCCGACGACACCTACAACAATGGTGGCTATTATAAAGGTATTAAGGCATGATTTTTTTTTTTGTTTGGGCTTTAATTTAGAATTTATTAGGATTTATGTAAATTTTCATATATATTCTATCTCTAATTGGTTGTCAAAATACTTTTTAGAATTTTTTATTAGGTGTCAAATGCTTTTTGATCTTTAGGAGACAACAAATGTTCCTATGTGATAACCAAATAACCCTTAAAAGCTTGTAGGTGGTAGCCAAAATACCCCTAAACTTTTATGAGATAGCAAAATATCCCTCCTTTTAGAGACGCCAAATGTCCCTAATTTTTTAAGCCCATTGAGTCTCGTGTAGAAAAGCCTCAACTTAAGGATCAGATAACCAAAAATATGCATTTGTGAGTTAGCATTTTGCATACCCACATGGTCAGCATCTTAGCCTCAAAGCCAAATTATAAATCCTACTTTTTAAACAAAAATAGCCTCCCTACTCTTTATATATATTGAGACCGGATTTCATGATTTAAAACGAACTAGGTGGGTCAGTTGATAGCCCTTTCTAGGTGGGACAATAAATTAAGAAGTTGGGCTAGCTATATATCATGTAAGGTGTAGTTTGTAAGTCTCTTGCACTCCATTAGGCTTAGCTTCGAGGCCCTACTCCTCAGTAGTTATCACCTTAGTTTTAGGGTCTGAGGCAATTATTGATCTAAATCACTTTAAAAGCCCTCACATTCTGAGCATTTCCTCTAACACATATTGTTGGAATATAAGCCCTAACATTCTAAATTAAAATGGTCAACTGAAATAAAAATTGAATTCTAAAATGTAAAGCTCAATATTAGATAGTTTGAGTACCTCTGAGTTTTCCTCAGAATCAAGTACTTCATACTTCATTCATTTGGCCTTCATTCAAAGAATTTCAATTAAAGTTGATCTTCTCATTCTTGAAATTCATAAAGGCCAAAAGTTGTTAAATAAGAATTTCATAAATCTCAAAATGAAGTTTTTAACCAATATTTTTATTATTTTAAAAAATCACTAGTTTAATCAAAAGTTTTCTCAAGTAACAAATGCTTGAGATGTAATTAATCATAGAATAAAATAAATTTTATTTAACCAAATATTAAATGGGAAAAGTTTTGTTTAAAATTAAATTGTAAATTTTTTTATTGAGTTCATAGGAAAATGTTATTTTTGTCCTTCAGGAAACTATATTATTTTTTATGTCGTGCTCGATTGCAAAATGTGCAATCCATGGAGGATGATAGAATTTCTCCAGCACTCATAAATCCCTCCTTTCCATTAGGGAAGGGGAAGCCTCTTACCAAAACCATTGAGTAGTAGTTTAAATAGGAAAATAGTAAAATAAATATATCATTTCTTATTGAACACTTATTTTTTTACAATGAGGATTATTATGGAGAGTAGTTTTGGCTCAAAGTTAGCACTTCATTTAGTTAGTCTATGTTGCTTGATACAAAATAAAGTCATCGCAACACTAGCGATTAACAAGTTCTTCGTAAGCGATTTGCTCATGGTCGTTAAGCTATAGTGGAATTTCACTTGAGTATCATATTTTTTGGTGTTTCCCATTGCAGTTGAGACATTAAGGAGGTGTATGTCATAACCCAACCAAACAAGGACATGTCTTATCCTGTTGAGCTGTGATATGCAAATCCCAAGATCTAGTTTTGGAATTATTTCAAATTTTCTGTCGATATTCATTGAAATAAATGACGAACTAGAGAGCGACTAAAATATCCAAATACTGAAAAACTCATTCATAAAGTTTCTTTAATTCATCAAAATAAATATTTACACTACAGTACATGGCTACAAGCAAGAGCTACAAAATTGAAAATTAAATTAGTCATGACTGTACAAAAATCAAAATAACAACATACTTATGACCTCAGATATGATTTTGAGCAGCTAGTCCACAATCTCTTTTTCTTTTCCAGATCCTAAAAATTAGAAGTAAAACCATAGTGAGCTACAACACCTCAGCAAACTACACAAACTAATCTAAATTTTCAAATATTCTTTTATCAAATATTTTGTTGAATATTTAAAAATAGTTAATTGCAGTTTAAATAAATAATTGAACTGAGAATTATAAAATTGGAAAATGTAATAAATGCATAACAGTTATTATATTATTCAAATAACAGTATTAAACAAATGAATAAATTTAAATTTATATCACAGAGTAGTTCAGATCGCATTTCCCAGACCCAGATAGAATCTCAAAGGATTTTGGCCTCTTATGACTCCCTTTTTATTTGTGTTTATAGCACCATAACATATCAAATATCCCTGTCTCAGATAGAATCTCAAAGGAACCCTTTATAACTCACATAAATTTTCTGACACAGACAGAATATCAAAATATTCTCGCCCCTTATGGCTCCCAACAGATATAATTTAATCACATATGCATATATATTATCACATTATAATAATTAAAAAGTAATTGAGCATGTATCAAAATTTTATAGTATTGTATAATGGTACACCACGTTTAAAATTGCACAATAAAAGGCATGCCTTGACGCAATATGATCCCTTTAAGCCTCAAAGCCCACTCAATAAGTTCAGGTATTGAGGCTTACGCCTCAAGTTTACTAAGACGCGCCATAAGGCGCGCCTCGCCTCACATTTTGAGGCGCCTCTAAAAAAAATAACCTAATTTTTTTTTCAGTTCGAACCCCCAATTGCCGACGTGGAGTCCTGGATTGCCTAGTGAGATGTCGACGTGGCATCAACATTTAAACTCTGGTAAAGGTAAAATGGCAGAAAAATTTCACAGGACACGCAGCGTTTCGGTTTTCAACTTCCAGCAAACGTTTCAAGCTTTCACTCCGAAGCAATTTCAAGCATTCACTCAGTTTCTTCTCAGATGTCATCACCCTCAATGAAAAAGGTAATTTGCTGACATGTTTTCGAATCAAGTTCTACGTATTTTAGGGTTATACTATGCGTAGGTGTTCAGGGTTTTGAAGTTCTTCATATTTTATGCTTAAGCTATGTGTATGCTATCGTATTTTCTCTATATTTAGGGTTTATGAATTTATGTTGAAATTTAAAACCTAAACCCTAACTAAATTTTAAGTTTTTAACAATTAAAC